AACCAAGACATCTCATTAGTAACTAGTACTGGAAAATCCATCATAGGTGGGTTTTGCTTTGATTATTGCTTTGATTATTATTTGATTGTTGCTTATTATAAGAGTACATCTTCTAGCAAGAGCAGAGGAGAGACGCTAGAGAATAAACAACAAAATGAAGCATCTACAACCAATGGAAGACTCAAAGCAAGCACTCAAAAACTCTTGTTAAATGAATACTATAAAAAGAAAACAAAAGCCTAAAGATTTTAGATTTAATCCAAAATCTGATGCAAAACTTTTGATAACCTTCCAGGAATTTACTGGAATGGCATGAGTGAAAAGCAGAAATCACTTTTCAATATACTTAGGAAGGAAATAGAACACCTCACTTCCAGCCCTGTCCTCAGCTGTTGTGTGTCCCCCAAGCAGTCAAGTAAAACTGTATTTATCTCTACAGTGAAGATAATTATTCCCACCCACCTCACAGTAATTTTGCAGAGATAATTAATATCACCTGAAAGGGCTTTAGAAACTATTAAGTATTGTGCAATTGTTTGAAACTTTATTTATTTTTTTGTTTATTTGTTTATTTTGAAAGAGAGAGAGAAGGCACACAAATGAGCATAGTGGGGGGATGGGAGGGGGCAGAGAGAGAGAGAGAGAGGTGAGAGAGAATTCCAAACAGGCTGTGCCTGCTGTCAACACAAAGTCTGGTGTGGGGTTCAAACTCACCAACCATGAGATCTTGACCTGAGCCAAAATCAGGAGTCGGACGCTTAACAGCCTGAGCCACCCAGCACCCCGGAACTTTATTTTTATTTTCAGGACTTAAGGAGATTCCAGAGGAATAACAGGTACACTTTTCTAAATAATGCAGAGATAAGCCACGAACCAAACATCTAGATGCCATCACAATTACTTGGAAAAGGACCTGTCAGATGTTTCATGACCCTTACCGCTCAGAAAAGTTTCACAGCATGTAGCACCACTTTATAGACTTGATAAATGTGATTATGTAAAAGAAAAGGAAAATAGACCAAAGCGGTATTAACAGAATTCTAAAAATGTAAGTTAACCCCAGTGACTCATTTTTTTGAAAAAGAAAAAAATAGTTTCTTCTACTTCTTTTTTTCACCCATGTGACACCACAAGGAGTTCCATATGTGGTTGAAGCATCATCTGGAAAAGAAGAGCAAGGAATCACATCTACCTACACTGACCACCGTAATATTAACTATAGTGGTTGGTTGGATCCAGCTTATTTCTATTCCTCTCCCTCAAGTCTTTAGGAAGACATCCAAACAATTACTGGGAATGAATGCATGTGGAAATTGGCCTTACATAATTTCCTTGGCTGTGAACTAAAGCATGTTTATAAAATATGCCCTTTGATTGTTGCTTAAATTTGAATGCCTCCCTCATAAGTGAAATGGTAAAAATCCATCGTGGCTACATTTAGATCCTCTTCTTTTTCATCTTGGTTCTGAATCACCTGCTGTTGGATCCTTTTTTATGGCTCCAGACGATCTGAATGATCAGAAAAATGACAATCCTTCCATCAGAGTTTTTATGTGATCCTCCCCACATGGGGAGTTGTAAGCCAGCACTACCAACCCCTACACCAGATGGCTAATGAAAGCAAGCCCTAGACAAGTCAAACACTGTTCACAACACATACTAAGAACACACCTCATTTCCCTTCTGGCCTTTTCTCATGTCTTAGGAAGGTCTACATTGCTCCCAACTCAAGCTTTGTTTTCCATTTTTGGTCCTGATTCTATCCATTGGACTTGAAGATTCATCTTGGTTTCTTTTAGTTATCCTTTGATTGTAGAGTGACTACAATCTTTGGTTTGTAACTACCATCTGACCTTTTCTGCTATCCATCTCAAACCCCTGGAAACAAGCCCAAGAAATATTTCAAAATACCAATAACAATAACAATAAACCTGAGTTTAACTCAGATCTCAATTTCAGTGGAAGAGACACTAACCAGGACATTCTAACACTGTGAATACCTCTCAGTAAACTAGTCCTTAATCAAGTTTCAATGTTGACAAGAGAAAACCCAAATAAAAGGGAATTTAGGCACTGTCTGAAATTAATTTCCAATCATAGACAATAATTTCTCAAAATACAAACCTTAAATATAGTTGACATTCAATTATTGTATAGCTTTTCTGGTACCCTTTATATTAGCTAATGTATGCATACAGGCAATTCAGGAAACAAAGGAGGTTCCTTCTCTTAATTCATCTTCTGGTATGGTTCCATCATTATCCCAAATTAAACATTTTCTGTTTCTCTTTCTCCTACACTGCATGGCTTAAAAGATTTATAAAGAAAATCCTGAATTTTTTCAGGGGCTTTTAATTTTCTTCCTCCACACCATATGTCTCACCCAGGGCTCTACATTCCTTATTTTATTTTATCCTCATACTAATTGTATGAAATAAGTATTTTAATTCCTGTTTTAAGAAATGTTAAATGATATGTCTGTGGTTACACAGCTGGCAAGTGGTCAAAGCAGTATTTGAACCTTGATCCTTTTAACACCATGGCCTTTGTTCTTATACCATTCCACTTTTGATAAGAAGAGAAATTCATCCTAGAAAAATGTGTTCTCAAGATAAAAAGAAATGAGATATTAAACCATGAAAAACATGAAACGACCTTACAGACACATTACTAAGTGAAATAAGACAATAGGGAAAGGTTCCAGTACTGTATCAATCCCACTCTGTGACATTCTAGAAAAGGCAAGCTTATGGAAACAGTACAAAGATCAGTGGTTGCTAGAGATTGGGGAAGGGATGGATAAAGGCAGAGCACAGAGGATTTTTAGGGCAGCAAAATGATTCTGTATGAGACTAACACTGTGGAGGCAGGTCATTATACATTCATCAAAAAACGTAGTTTAAAACACCAAATGTGAACCCTAATGTAAACTCTGGACTTTGGGTGATAATGATGTGTCAGTGTAAATTCATCAGTTGTAATCATGTACCACTCTGGTGAGGGATGTTACTAGTGGCAGAGTTTGTTGGAGGGGCTATATAGGAACTCTTTGTACTTTCTGCTTAATTTTGCTATAAACTTAAAACAACTCTAAAAAATAAAATCTATTAAAAAATATTTCCCCATTATATAAACAGACATCATGGACTTTATGTTACTTCATACTTGGCTCCAATTTCTACCTGTAGCACCTGAATCTCACAGTTGAGGGGGGGAGAAAGAGAACAAAAACTAGTCAAAGCTAAACCAATAGAATATGACTCTAGAACAAGTAAAGATATCCACAGGCATCCTGTTTCGGTCTCTATATCCCTTTCTCTCTCCTATCATCTGTCTTGCCAGCTTTTCATCGGTTTGCCTCTTTTATCCCTACCACACAGCCTTTAAGTCCAGGAGCAGAAAAAAAAAAATAAACACAAAACTTTTTCCCAGTATTCTTAGTATTTACTGTTTCATCGATCTGTGGGCAAGAATTCAGACAGGGCACCACGAGAATGGCTTTTCTTTGATCTCAGGGGCCTCAGCTGGGAAGACTCTATGACTGGGTTGACTAAGCAGCTTGAAGCTGGAATCATTTGGAGGCATTTTCTCTCACGTGTCCAGGCTATCAGCGGGAACCTCAGCTAGCCTATCAGTCAAAATACACATACCATTGGCTTCTTCATTGATCTTTTCATGTGGACTTGTTTGGGCACAGTGGCTGTGTTCTAAGCATCTCAAAAGACAATAGGGAAATGTATGACATCTCTATGATCTGGCCTTGAAAGCCACATAGTTTCATTTCTACCATATTCATTAAAGCAGCCACTAAGTTCTACCCAGGTTCAAGTGGAAAGGACACAGACCAAAACTACCAGAAGGGAGAAGTGTCAAGGCCACAGTGTAAGCAGATATGAAATAGGAGATATTATTACAGCCATTTTGGGTAATTTTGTTATATGTTATTATATTTTAAATATCGAAGTATGGGGGCGCCTGGGTGGCGCAGTCGGTTAAGCGTCCGACTTCAGCCAGGTCACGATCTCGCGGTCCGTGAATTCGAGCCCCGCGTCAGGCTCTGGGCTGATGGCTCGGAGCCTGGAGCCTGTTTCCGATTCTGTGTCTCCCTCTCTCTCTGCCCCTCCCCCGTTCATGCTCTGTCTCTCTCTGTCCCCCCAAAAAATAAATAAACGTTGAAAAAAAAAATAAATATCGAAGTATGTATTGCATTTGAATGTTTGGTTAAACTTTGCTCTACATCTTTATTTCTGATTGCCTATTTCAGATCATAAAACACATAATGGCAGGCACAACCATGTTGAATTAATTTACACAAGCTCCATCATAGCACCTTGTACTTGACAATCATAGTATATAATATCATTACTAGTGCTGCAATTGCTGATAGGTACATGCACTTAAGCAATCATTATTCTTTACATTTGTAATGTGTTGCAGAAAATCTCCACACTAACCAAAAAAGACATACAGCATCTTTACTCTGCAAGTGAATTTTATTATTCCAATTAGGTCTTGGTTGCTTGAGAAGAGTACATAATTTCTTCTCCCAAGTGAATAGATTCTTGTAAAGCAATAATTGAATCTCACAGTTGAGGGGGGGGGAGATATCACTACCCTGAAGGAACTATCTGTTTTCCTCCACAATTAGTCACTTAGGTTTTTGTTGTTTTTTTTTTTTCAACGTTTATTTTTGGGACAGAGAGAGACAGAGCATGAACGGGGGAGGGGCAGAGAGAGAGAGGGAGACACAGAATCGGAAACAGGATCCAGGCTCTGAGCCATCAGCCCAGAGCCCGACGCAGGGCTCGAACTCACGGACCGTGAGATCGTGACCTGGTTGAAGTCGGACGCTTAACCGACTGCGCCACCCAGGCGCCCCGAGTCACTTAGGTTTAAATAGATTATTAAATGGTTTATATTAGTAATCTGTGTGAGATCTTGATCATGAATGCTAAACTGTTTTGAAAAGTTAACTAATGAAAGCAATTGTCCCTTTTCAGTTGATTTCATAGGTGGCTTTGATTCTTATGGCTATCAAGGGCCTCAGAAGACATCTCATTTACAACTACAGCCTATGTACATGTAAGTACTTTATTTTGGAGGTATTCTATGATACTAAAAGATGATTAAGTAAGCACTGTCATGGTGCAAAATAGATGGCATGCAGCTTTCCTTCAACTACATACTTCCAGTATTTTCTCTTCTATTAATGTTGTTTGGCTGGGATAATTCTAATAACATTTTCTTCATAATTCATTTTTAAATTTAACTTATCAGAAATGCCATCTCTAAAGTTACTTTTAGTCTTATATAAAGTATCAACTACATAGCTAAAAAGCCTTTATTAATATTTCTTTGAATACTTTATTAATACTTCTTTGAATGACCCAAAAGTTATATATTTTGAAAATGATATAACATTATGGGTAGTTATATGCAACTATATATAAACTATGTGTTCTGGTTTTCCCAGGAGAGTCTCAGTTTACATAGGTTGTCCTGGTATAGTTATTACCAGTACCTCTTCTTACTCTCAAAAGTATTCTCATTTGGATGATAAATGATAGGCTATATATAATTATATATAGTATAACCCTATAGTTATATATAGTGTTTAAAAAAACTGAGCAGTAATATTCTTTATTCTTTTTCTGATGTGAAGTGAAAATTACACCAGAAGAGTAACACTGAAATTTATCAGACCCTTAACTCTAGCACTCAAAAGAGCAGACATACAATCAGAGCCTGATTTTTATATCTGTGTTTAGGCAAATTCCCTTGGATAACAACTGATAACAAATTCTATATATCAGCATCAAGTGATATGCTGAATTGCAAGCGAAGATCAAAATAGAAAGTAAGATTCCAATTCATTTTGAAATGTGAGCTTCTCTCTTTGAAGATATGTGTTTGTCGTCATTGTCCTCCACCATTGAATCATTTTGCCTTTTAGTATTGTTAATGTCTAGGATGATAAATGGATTTGGAGTATTTCTCTTCCAAGAGATTAAAGTAATCTTTATACACCTCCTTGTAAGCTTCTCTTTAAAAGGGGAACGATCTATGCATCATGCCTGCGCTTTTCTTTGGAAGTATTTGGCAATACCACCCATAAAAAAGACCTGATCTGTTCAGAAGTCCACCAATACTACATGCATTCAAAGCCTTCCCTCTGCAAACAGTGCATCACACAATCTCTTTTGTATCCCCATAACCACTGCCCTAAATCAGCGTTCATTACCTTACGTTTTCCTGTCTCTTTCTAATTTTAGTACCTCTGTCCCGTCTTCCGTGTGGCTGCCAAATTACTCTTCCCAAAGTACCACTTTGACTCTTTCCCCTCCTTGTCCCAAACTATCAATTAATCCCTATTACCTACTAAACAAAGTCCACATTGCTTACCGTAGCTTACAAGTATCCTCTGACCTGGCCCCAATATCTTGCTGAAATATTCTCTCTTCTCTTCAACCCTTAACAACTTTTGACTCCCAACCATATGCAGCTGATGCTAGGAGATACTGGGAAAGTGTAATAATGAATAAGAGCTGGCTCCTGTCCTGATGAATCTTATAATCTATTGAGGGCATTAAGTAGTCTGCCATCTTACCCATTTTTTGCCGGTGAAACTAGAACTCTTGCTTTCCACCAATATGACATGTGTTTCTCTAGTTGCCCATGCTGTTCTCTTGACACCAAACATATTTTTTCCCAAGATGAAATACCACTATCCTTCAAATTATATCTTAAAATATATGTTTTATGGAAGAGGTTTAAATATCTTTTTCCTCTGATACTTCTCTTTTTTTTTCTTTTGCCTAGCACTATACTTGTTTTCTGTTTAGACCAAAATTTCCTGTCCTCCCAGGAAGACTTGATAGCTCACACAAAAAGTAAAATTACAAACCCTTTAAGTTCTTTACCACTCTTCCCTATATTGTATCATAGCTTTATATAAAGTGTTCTATTAAAACATAAAGGCAAAGCAATACAGGACAGTGGTTAAGAGGACCTAGAAGGCAGAGTACTAGAGATGAAATTCTTTATGACCTTGGACATACAACTTGATTTGAATAACTTTAATTATTCTCATCAAATCTAAGTCTCCTTACCTGCAAAAGAGAGATGATAGCACATGTACTTCATATAATTATTTTGAATTTATAAGTATATAAGACGTAAAACATGCCACATGGTAAATGCTTAAGAAACATAACTTAGTAGTACTGGGAACAATGCTTATGTGAACCAATATTACTCATGAAAAGACTTTATCGAATCAGAAATCAATATACTATACAATATAATATATAATATACTATATTTCATAGTATACGAAAGGATTTCCTCTGGAAACAATAGATCACATATAATACCCACCCAAATAACATGCAACAATATGTGCTCAAGAGTAGACCAGAACATCTACAAAGCTTGTAATTGCTTGTTTCTGACAATATCACATAGCATTTCTTCATCATGTAACACTTCATTGTGTTTATGAATATGAATGATCAGTAAATATGATCAAGCTATAATAAGTTACATGTAACCACATATATAGGATTAGCTATCTTAGAGAATGCTAATTATACATAATCAAGTATATTGTTTCAAATCAGGCATCCATAATTCTAATGTCTTCAAAAAGTGGACCCTGCATATTTAATATCCATCATTAAATTCCTGAGGACCAAACTTACCATGATTTTATTAAATAGAAGACTTTAAATGACAAACGAAAAGTAATAAAAATACTATTTTCTTCCTTACTGCCTGGGAACACTAAAATTATGTAAGAAGTTTCAAGTCTCACTGCTCATGAAAAAAGCTGAATGTTCCATGACATTCAGATTTAGGAAGTTAGAATTAATTGCATATAACAAATCACTAGTCAAAATACTACCACTGCCCCTTCTACAAAACATCCCCTTACCGGACTTCAAGTTCTACAACACTGAGATTTTATTTTACAGATGAGGAAACTGGAGGAAGAGAAAGGAAAACAAAGGTCACACAACCTGTTAGTTGTGCCACCCCCAATTATCAACCAGTTTTCCTAACCCCTTAGTTCAGTGTTCTTTCCAAATTCTTAGACCTGTGAGTTTGCTCTGGCATTCATTATATTTTCTGATTTTTAATGTACTTAGTTGTACTTCTCACACTAACTTGGCTGCCATACCTCCAAACATGCCTGCACCCCTCCCTTTCTCTGCAACCAACTATCCTCTTCTGATTTTACATTATGCAGTAGCCTTCAACATGGTAGCCTTCAGAACCACTCATCTGACAGCCATCGCCTATTCAAACCCTGTGAAAAACCAAAAGTGACTCATGCATAAATTTCACCCCTGCTGAGAGAAAGGGACCTGAACATCTCCTATGTCTTTGTCCTTTAGGGAGTAGCTTTTCCTGTCAACCTGCCATAATAAGTCTCATAAAGTAAGAGTAATTCAACATCATGGTCTGGTTCAAGCACTTTCACGATATTATATAGCAACTGGAAATAAAAGCTGTTCCTTAGAAGGAACGCAAATGCTTAAAAAGTAATGTGCAGTTTTAGCTGTGGGATTTCCATTATGCCCAGCAAATCCGTGGCTAAGAGCTTTGAAAACACTGCCCTGACTGACTTCCATTCACAGCCACGTTTCAGTTCCTACAGTCATTGAATAGACAGCCCTCTCTTTTTTAGTTAAGTTGGGAGAATGTTCTGTAATTCTTTAGATTATCTATCATCCATCCTAAAAGAAAAGGTTTTCATTAATTTGTTTCATATGGTTTGGTAAACTTCTTTGAAACAAATAATAGCCATGAAGCTCCCTCACAAAAACATTCCCATGTCCACAGGTTAATTTTCTAACAAAGTAGCTGTTTTGACTACCACTGACCTATGTGCCATCGCCAGTAGAGATGTGTTTGGGTTCCCGCAGTATAAACTGTGAGAATATCCCATGGTATATTAGCAACATTTGAAAACACTGCATTCTTTTTGGCAGCCTAATTGTATAGCAATACATATTCATTTCATTTGTCCCCAGAAATGGATTTTAAATTATCATAAGTGGCCACTTTACCCAAGAGGTTACAGAGGAAAAAGAAACGGAGAGGAAAGTTGTCTCATTTTAAGCACAATTTGGGCTTGGACTTTTTTGTGTTTAATTTTTGCTTGTTCTTGTGCTTGGAGAGGTGAGAAAGATGCTGGGCTCTCCCCCTTCATTAAAAACAACTTTTCTTTCTCTCTCTTTCTCTCTACCAGGTCAAAATAATACAGATGGCCTCAGTATGTCAGCTCCTGGACCTTTCAAAGAACTTGTTTTGCAGTGGCCTCCTGCATTTTATGAAGAGCAAGAAGCAACTGAGTTTAAATATATATACATGTTAACAGAACAAACATAAAGCCTCTACATACACTGAGACACACACACACACACACACACACACACACGCACACACACACAGAGGCACATACTAATTCCTCTTGGCCTCCTCTTTCTAACTGAAACAAATATGCAGGACACTCCCATCTTGGATTTCCTGAAAGTAGGCTTCTTTCTCCCAGGCCTTTGGAAAGTTCATAAGGAGATGTGTTGGTGCCCTCTGCTGGCCGTCACTAACTACTCTGCAGCCCAGCCAGTCAGCCTCTGTGAGCTGCAAAGTCATCCAGGGCACATTAGTTTGACAGCCCTGTCTTCTGCACTCCATACGTCTTGATAGCACCACGGCTACGTAGGCAATGTAATTGCAAAAACAAACAAAACATGCCATGATGACCTTGTAACCGAAGTCCGAAATGGCAGGTTGTTTGCCCTAAAGGCTATACCGTACATACTTGCCTTAACCCACCTAAGTTGTGCGCCCGAGTCTCAGTGCAGACCTCCCCAAGTCACTTCCTTTAGGCTAACACACTGCTATTAATTCCGAATGAGTTTGAGTCTGTGTGTTTCACGTCAAGAAACAGGACTGCATAGCTCAGCAGCTCAGTGTGTCTGTGTACAAAAACTGCCAGCTGTCAGCAAAGTGCTTTATCATTGAACCTCCATGGTGGCCAAAAACAGACAAGTGACAATAACAACAACAACAATAATCATGTTCTTTATAATTCTTAAATATGGTCTTCTGAAGGGGTTGGGTGGGACAAAGTAAAATTTATTAATCTACTAAACTCATAATCTACTGGAAGCAGAGAACAGAAATGGCTTAACTCACTGATTTTATTTACTGCACTCTAGGTGCTTTTATAAGTATCTACAAATGTCTTTTACTAACACAGAAACAGCTGTGGATTTCTATCAACAGAGGCCAACTGAATATGTATTAGCTATGTTTACTCTTTTATATCTAATTCAAATGGAAGACCCTACGTAGGTGAACTTTTTTTCCTAACTTCAGCGTACGAGATTATTTTTTGGGTGGGCGGGGGGAGCAATAGTTACCTTGGTGAAATATTTGAGATCTCTTTGTGGTATTTGGGGGATCTGTTGTGTGTTAGAGTGTATTTTAATCCTCCTGTATTATTGTGGCAGAAAAACTGTGCTGTTAACGTAGTTGGCAACAAGATGCCTTTGGAAACTTAATAGTAGGTCAATGTGTTTATGGAATATTCTGAATTCCTAGGAAATTTTGTTCTATATACTCAGCATTATTTGGTTTTCATTAGTGGGAAACATAATTAGCTCAGGCTTATCAGGAACTCCGAAGAGTCATGTTTTTTCTTGGATCCACCTGAGATGCTAAAATCAATTTTTTTAAAACTAATACAACATCCTTCAGTGCAGTGAAATTGAGACTTGAAAAGTTACAAATTGGCATGGAGCAATGTTTTCTCTCTTGGTTTCTATGTAGTTTCTTCAGTTATTGGGTTAACCTACTTTGGACCTTAGCCCATCCAGATCTACATAAACCAGCCCCATTACTGTGTTTGCATGGATGTCTGTGAAATACACACATATACATTCAAAAACGATAAAGGAACAAAGGTTATATTGGAACATAAGCTAAAAAAAAAAAAAAAAAAAAAAAAAAAGGTTCCAGCACTTGTGCTTGAATTTTCTCAGTGGCTTGTATATGTTTGTCCATACATACATGTATAAAATAAATAATTGCAAACATGTCAGTGAAACCTCATATGATGATTTTATAGTGACATGCATGTTTAATGTAGGAGAAAAATATTTACCAATTTATTGTCCTCTGATTCTTAAAATTTAAATACTCTACATGCCAGAAACTATTCTAATGTGACTATTAACGTGAAAATTAAAATGAGGTTTCACTGTACATTCATGCTGTGATGAGATTCCACCTTATAGGACATGTATATGGATAGAGATTTAAGTGCACAGAGAACAAGCCCTCATATTCCTGCTTTAAGTTGCAGCCAAGCTACCACTTAATCACTACTATCATCACCACCAAAATTTTCAAAACCAGTTGTTGACTACTAAAGAGTAATTCGTGGACAGGTCTTCTTTTGGGAGCAGTGAGCACAGTAGTGTGATTATATCTGGAAAACCATCTGAGTTGTACAGCTGATTCCTCCTCAAAATCCGGTGAAGAATGCTATTTTTCTAGGCTGAGCTTTTGTTATAAACCTAATATTCAGAAGGCAAGAGTTACAATCCTGATGTGTCTTTTTTTTTTTTTTGCGTTTGTTAATTCTGAATGTATTTTTAACAGAGTGATTTTTTTGACTTACTAGTGTAATTTGCATTTTAAAAATAAATGGAAAAACAATTAAGCTTCTGAGCCATCCCTGAAAGCCCCTCCTTCTCACAGTGTATCTGATTATATCATTGACAAGGAAAACCTATTAAATTTACATGAAGGCAACGCTGATGTTCTGTGCTATGCAGGAATGGATATGTCAGCAATAAAAAGAAATTGCCAGGTCATGGCACCATGTTAGCTCAGTCATAGGTAGCACGCACTTTCATTATCCCCTAACACTAAGGGATCTTTTACAAGACTGCCTGGAATAGACTTGCTGTCATTTGGAGAACTTTTTTTTTTCCTTTCAATCTGGAATTTAGAGTTAGCATCGGGCTAATAGCTGACAGAGGTGTTAGGGCACTATGTTAAAAACCTTTGCTTAACATAGGTGGGTTTTTTTCTTTTTTTTAAGGTCAAATTATTTAAAATAAAATTATTTAGAATACTCATTTAGTCATTGCTCCTTTGAGGACCAATCGTTGACAACACTATAAGTGAACCATGTTGGGGTAGGGTAGGCAAGCAGAAGAGATTCACCCAAGGAATTTATGATTGCATAACCATAATTTCAGCTGAGGTTCACTGTGTAGCTGAAAGGGAGAGAAGGTAGAGGGATCAGGCTTGGGCTGTCTCAGGCTTGGGCTGCTGTTGGGGCTCTTTCATTGCACAACCCCCAGAAGCCAAAATGCAGAAATCGATTGAAAATAAAAAAGGCTTTGAGGCAACATTCCAAGAAGCTGAAGATCAACTTGTAGAATTTGACATCCTGGCCACACGGTGAGTCTTGGAAATGATGAAGCCTGTTTTTACTTTTGTTCCCTGTGTGAAAGGTGTGTTGATATGGTTCATTGTGGATGACTGGCAGGATGTTGCTTCATACTGTGAGGTCAAATACACACATCTCAGTTGCAAAAAAAGGGATAAAAGTTAATAAAGCAACTATATATATATATATATACACCCTAAAGAAAAGATTCCCACCTCTGGAGTTCTCAAATAAGGTGTGCATTTGGTAAGTAATAAATATTATTTGTTGATGGCACCAAGATCTTCATTTGTAACTGTTCAAATCCTAATCTCTAATACAGTGAAAGAAATAGCCAACATTCCATTATACTATAACAAATGGGTCATAAACTCAGAAATACAAGCTCATTTTATGTAGGTTACATTACAGAACAAACTTTTGAGATCCAAACCCATTTATTGTAGAGACAGTAAGCTAAGGCCCACAGAGATCAAGAAATTACTCAAGACTACCATTTATTGTGAAAATGCAAATCACTCACCATTCTACAACAAATTCCTGTATGCATACTCTGACCAGAATAGAATAAATCAAATCCCAGACAATGGGATTTGTCAACTGACCCTGGACTGTTAAATCAGAATGAACCCTGATAAGGAAGACTCTAAGATAGTATAAGATCATGAAATGTGTCTGAATTATTGTGTATTAGGTTCAATATAGTCTCAATGTTAAATATGTTTTATTATCTTACAGTTTTTTATACACCAAAACTCATACCCACATGTAAATGTCGTCGACAAATTATGTTTGTTTTCAAGGTTTAGAAGTTTTTCTGTTATTTCTCGTATAATGCATTTGTGAATAGTTAATATTAGAGAGATTGAGATTACTTGAACTGTTTCATCATGAAAATACCGCGATTGACAAGACTATCTTCCTTCAGACATTTGATCCATCTCTGATAAAATTTCAGCACTAAACACTTGTACTCAGAAAGCTTTGATACCAAGATCCTTACATTGTAAAACACTGAAGCCCCAGTTATTCTCACCACATGTGAATCTTTGATTAGGATCTGTGTTCAATCCTTTTCATTTTATTACATCTTCCTTCCACTCACTCCCGAGAAAGGAAAGAACAAAATCTGTGATTGATGTATTATGTCCAATTTAAAACATGCTAGTATCCGGAAACAATCACTTTTGATAACTATAAGAGCAAAATCTCTAATACATGTATGTGCTCTATGCCTTTTAATTCAACAAAAACTTGAACTGGATAATGCATTCCAGAGTCTCATTTACCACCGAAATCTGCAACGGTATCATGAGTTATGACTGTCAGTGACAACAAAGAAAATGATGGTGAGTTTCTCCTAAAAAGGGATAAAGGCACTTCTTTTTATATTCTTTAGAATTATAATGAAGATCATTTTTTAAAAATCCTCAAACATGGAGTTTAGATGCAAATGAGCTCAAAATTTGTATAGGTATTGAAAGTTTATTTCTATATGATAAATTCAGAGAGGAAAAATCCTGTTATAAGCCACATGTTGATGCTCTGATACAGTCCAAACCTTTATTAAAATTAATGTAAGCCTTCTCTATAATGAGAGCACAGAATTGTGGCCCCTTAGTAACAAAACAGTTATATTTTTTAACCTCTCATTCTACTCTCATATGAATTTAAGCTGTAACAGCAATGGAATAAAACAACTCCCAAAAAAAGATTGCAAATTGATGCTGTCACCCCAAGGATGATGGATTGATTCAATTAATCAGCAAGTCTTTTCTAAGAGTCCTTCGGGGAGTTATTTACCAGAGGCATACCCTGTTTATTCCCCTTTTGTGTGCCTGTCATTTTTCTTCATTATTCTTCTAGTTTTACTCATTATATCCTTTGGGGATATGTTGATCTCCATGTGCAGAGAGGTTTTGCAAACTGCTGTCTAGACATAAATCTTCCAAGCTTCAAACTGGAGGACCCCAGGACACCCGAGCCTCTTGTCATTGTTATCTCAGGCTGACCAACACTCTCAGGATGAAGTCAAACAAATGAACATGAGTTACAAATGATAAATCACAGGGAACTTACCAAATGTAGTAAAGATTATGAAAAATCCTCCACTGGTAAAGATGTAAAAACTTTGTGTTCCAGACACCTATGGAACTAGTCTTTGCATCTGCAAAAGGAGATCGGTAAGGCAGGGCCAGAGGGTTGAGAGGCAGGGGCCCGTGCTAACAATTAATGGAAAAACAAAACATACTCGGTGTTTGTATTGAGTGCCAAAAAGCAAATGCTCTCAGACTCGAAACATTTCCATTTCCAATAGGTCAAGTAACCTGTCTATATCTTGCTATCAGGGGTGGCTACATAGTTTGTAGGACCCGTGAAAAATGCAAATGTGGAGCTCTTGTTCAGAGTAGAAAAAGAGTGCTACTAAAGGTACTAAAATATTAAGACTTTTCCTTCTAAAGTATGTTATTACTTATAAAACATAATAAGGGCAAATAGTAACATAAATAACAACACAAAATATAAATAATAAAAAATACTTAGATGTCATAATTTTAAATAATACAATGAATACAATACTTTATTAGTGGGATATCTTGACTGATAATAAGATGTTTGACTCACCTTTCTCTAACTTAATATTAAGTCATCAAAATGTATACTTTGAACCAATTCCTTTTTAATCAATATAAATGAAAGTGATGTCAGTCACTCTTGGCAAATGCATCACAACCTTTTATAATTTTTATGAAACTATAGTTTTTAATTTAGAGAAGAATCTCCCTGCTTCTGTCACTGTTACTAGAGCCATGAAGAATATTTTATAAAGAGTGACAACATTGCAGTAAATTTCTGATAAACTACTTACAAATATTAGTCATTTGAGTTAATGGTTCACAGAACAATTTTTCTAAAAAAGATTAAACTTCATAAAAAATCACTTTCATGTAAACCTGAATCAAATTTTAAAGAAAATTATAAAAGCGCCTGGGTGGCCCAGTCGGTTAAGCATCCGACTTCAGCTCAAGTCGCCATCTCACGGCTCATGGGTTCAAGACCCACGTCGGGCTCTGTGCTGACAGCTCAGAGCCTGGAGACTGCTTCAGATTCTGTGTCTCCCTCTTTCTTTGCCTCTCCCCCACTAGCCTGCATGCCCTAGCACTCTCTCTCTCTTTCCCTCTGTCTTTCTCAAAAATAAATAAACGTTAAACAAAAGTTTTAAAGAAATATTATATAATAGGATCTTAGTGTTTCCTCTGGCATTTCCTGTAACTTGTTCAAGAAGCTAAAAATGGCTTCCTGGTTTCCATGTACTTAAAAACACCCACTTAAGTAATCTACTGCTATATGTTCAGTTACAAGAAAAATAATTGTAAAATTGTCTTTCTCAATAATTTGTTCTTCTGAAGCATCTTATGAAAATAGTTATCTTCTGTCTATTACTGATACTAGTCTCTACTTTTTATGTGTGAGCCCACGGATCTGTTTTTTTTACAACGTTGCTGAAGTTCTCAAAACGAGAGATTCCAAACTCTTTGAATAATCCCAATGGTGCTCTGATAATGCTTTGTTAAACGCTGACGTGTATACGTTTACCTTATAATAATTTTCTGACGATGCTTACTGCCCAGCACCAGCGGTTCGTGTCCCAGCACTAAAGTCATAGTTAGCATTTGTGCAAAAGCTACAGGGACGAGGGCTTTTGGGGAATTAATAGGCAAGCTGGACTCCCCCCAGTTCCTAGGGCTGCCAAGGGCCCCTGCTTCCCCCCAGGGGTAGAGCTGCCCCTTCTGCTGCTGTTGGGGCCACTGTCACCCCCGCCAATCTTATCCTCAGTTGGTCCCCAGCCCAGCAGCTCCTCCGACTGCCCTGAGGCAGCCCAGGCCAATTGCTCTGCAGGCTGCGTGCTGTGCCCTGGGGCCTAAGCCTGTGCCCTCCGGTATTGCTGCTAGATCACAAACGTTCATGCAGGCTGTCACCCCAGGATATCTTGTCTACTCACCACATGCTCAAGAATAATATATTAAGAATTTCATGAAGAGGATAGTAGAACATTAAACCAAGCACCAGACTCCTCTGAGTGTGGGGACCACGTGCAATGAAACGTGTCATATGCCTATCCATAACGCTAGCTAGACCTGCTTGCTACAGAAGCCGACCCAAAAAATTCTACATCTACTCCACTTCAGACTTACCCCCATTTTGTTACTGGAATAAATGGAACTGGGATAGTGCGTTTATTATTAAAAAATAATCCTGGGATGTTTTTACTAAGAAGGAAAGGATGATTATTTCAAAAAAGAATGAAACACAAAAAGGATAGATTGGATACCTTGGACACCAAGGCTGGGAGTATTTTCAGACTTTCCAGTGAATTGGATCAAATATCTCGTTATATGCATAATTAGTCAGGTTTTTATTACACTTCTATTAAAGAAAGAGTTTTGTCATGATGATTGAAATCCATTATGGTGCAAGGGCACTAACATTTCATGGCTACAATTCAATCTAGTTCTGCAGGTTTAAGAATAAATTTCAAGAATAACAACAAAGGTTTTTTCTAAATCCTTCCCACTAAAATTTTAAAATAAGAACTGTTGAGGTAAGGCATAGTATGTATCCAATATATTTAAAGTAGGATGGATATATTGTGGAAATGCATTTAGAAACTGAAAATATACCTAATTATACTGCATCATGAATCAAGACACCATGTGTTAAAAGAGTAAATTGAAATAACTATATTTTATGTAATTAAGAGATTTTTTTTCCTTCATATTTCTGTATGTGGACATATATTGGAAGCACTAGAGTAGCAAAGTCCCCTCCTTACTCATTTTCCATTTTTAACAATATGCAGTATAAGATGACATTAAAGCTGTAAGTGCCACACAGTACTCTCCTGGTCACAGCATCTAAGTGACAGATCCAAATCTCACAACACAATCTGTCTGCAGAGCCCACAGTTCTAACCTCTAGGAAACAAAATAAATCTCCAGAGAGCAGTATGCAGATGTGAGTAGCTATGTTTCCCTTTGATGTCAAAGATCTGTCTCTGATTATAGCGACTTTTTATTCATGCATTCACAGAATATGTCATTCTTACCTTATTCGAACAACTTCCTTCCATCCACCACACCTTCCCAAACACTTTCCATTGAGACATGAAATGAGATTTCTGAACAATTACGGCTGTCAGGCAGAGGGTGGACTTCAGGGGAAGACTCTGGAATTATTCCTCCCTTAGGGTCACCATGTCTTAAATGTGGTCCTATCACGACCATAGGGTCTCTCTCATCAACATCCGTTCCCTGTCTGTATAGAGAGAAATGAAAGCACAGTAAATCTTGGTAAACATGGTCAACTCTGAAGGAAAACAAGACACTTGTAATATATTGTGTTTATAAATTCCCCTCTCCATAAGTCCCACTTTGGTTGTGCTTGACATTTAAAATTGAAACTAACAGAGAAGCGCTGAGCTAAAGTGAAAAGGGATATGGATGGGCAGTAAACCAGGACTTGTTATGTAATTGTTGCCAGTGTCATTCATTCTTACAGACAGAATTTAATATCACCACAAAAAGTCACATCATCCTAAAGATTTAATATGAAAGATTCCTTTTATATTAAAAGGCAAAACAAAAACTGAAGCAATTTCCTACATTTTTCCACCATTCATGCCAAGTGTAGTGGTATTTCCTCATCAAATATCTATTGGCAATTTCTACTTCTTAAATGACGTACATTTACAGTTAAAAGCCAGGTATGGGAACAAAAAGAAAAAATTGCATTTCCTAAAAACAAACAAAAAAAAATCTTGCCCACTGATTTATCTTTTCTTATATTTTTCTCATAAAAGTCAACAACATTTTATATATATTATTGATTGTTAGAGGGTCGTCGCAAATTTTCTTCATTCTTGCTTTGGTTGACAATTTGTATTGAAGGAGGTGGAAGCACATACAATTGATATGACTCTCAAATAATTCCAGGTATAAATCATTGTATTAGTTTCCTGTTGCTGTGGGATCAAGTTACCACAACTTGGTGATTTAAAACAACACAAACTTTTTAAGATATTAAGATATGATTCTCGAGATCGAAAGTCCCAAATAGGCTTCATTGGACTAAAATCAAGGTATCGGTGGTATTTCATTACTTCTAGAAGCTTGAGAGAAGAATCCATTTCCTTCCTTTTTCCAAATTTGAAAGACTGCTTGCATTCTTTGGTTAGAGTCCTTTTCGTCCATCTTCTAAGTCAAAAGTGTGGCATCTTCAGATCTCTCCTTGACTCTATGACCTCTGATTTTATCATCACATCTCTCTCTGACACTGACCTTCTTGCCTCCCTCTTATAAGGACCCTTTTGATTATGTTGGATAATCCAGGATAATCTTCCCATCTCAAAATTCATATATTAATCACATCTGCCAAAGGGACTACAAAATCTTCTTTGTTACATAAGGTAAAATATTCATAAGTTTCAGGAATTAAGGCCTGGACATTTTTGGAGGGACATTATTCTACCTACCATAATCACCTAAGTGTCTACCCAGGCACTACTCACACCCCCTGAGGTAAGATGTTCTTTCTGAGAGTCAGCATTTCTAATTGCTGATATATAATATGTAGGATATTAAAATCTTCAAAGAATTCACAGAACTACTTTTTAAAAAAAAATTTTTTTTTGATGTTTATTTATTTTTAAGAGAGAGACAGAGCATGAGCGGGGAAGGGGCAGAGAGAGAGGGAGACACAGAATCCGAAGCAGGCTCCATGCTCTGAGCTATCAGCACAGAGCCTGATACGGGGCTCAAACTCACAAAATGCAAAGCTCATGACCTGAGCTGAAGTCGGATGCTTAACCAGCTGAGCCACCCAGGTGCCCCATAGAACTACTTAACTAAGCTCAAATCCTCTGTTTTCTAGCAATAGAAGTTAGAGTCTTGAGGGCACCTAGGTAGCTCAGTCAGTGAAGCTGCCGACTTGATTTTGTCTCAGGTCATGATCTCCCAGTTCCTGAGTTTGAGAGCCACATCCAGGTCTGTGCTGACAGTGCAGAGCCTGCTTGGGTTTCTCTCTCTCTCTCTCTCTCTCTCTCTGCTCCTTCCTTGCTAGTTCTGTCTCTCTCTCTCTCAAAATAAATAACCTTTAAAAAGTTAGGGGGCGCCTGAGTGGCTTGGTCGTTTAAGCATCCAACTTCAGCTCAGGTCATGATCTCACGGTCTGTGAGTTCGAGCCCCTCGTCGGGCTCTGTGCTGACAGCTCAGAGCCTGGAGCCTGTTTCAGATTCTGTGTCTCCCTCTCTGCTCCTCCCCTGTTCATGCTCTGTCTCTCTCTGTCTCAAAAATAAATAAACATTAAAAAAAATTAAAAACAAAAAAGAATCCTGGAATTGTAAGGTTGGACAGAATCTTTCAGACGAATGATTCATCTCCTTTTTAACACAAGAGATTGCTGCATCTTAGGCTGCTGACACCCAAATGGAAGAGTTCAGTGAGATTTCCAGAGCATGTGAGATTGCTTTTTTCCACTACATCATATTGTTGCTAATAATTTGTAAAATCTAACTCATTTTTAATAAATCACCTCTAATGACTGTGATTGAAAAAAGAAAATTCTCCAGAAAAGATTAGCTGGAATCTATCCACTTGTGAAAATTTTATAGGAGTTTCTATAATACTATATAATTCATTGATTTGGATTCACATCAAGTTAGAAAAATATTCCTAATGACATTGCACTTTTTTCACAGAAGCATAATATAAGTTGATTTTTAAGTATTTATTAAATAAAAATAATAAATGCACATATTAAAAAATAAAGACTACAGGGGCGCCTGGGTGGCTCAGTCGGTTGAGCATCCGACTTCGGCTCAGGTCATGATCTCGCGGTCCGTGGGTTCAAGCCCCGCGTCGGGCTCTGGGCTGATGGCTCGGAGCCTGGAGCCTGCTTCCGATTCTGTGTCTCCTTCTCTCTCTGCCCCTCCCCCATTCATGTTCTCTCTCTGTCTCAAAAATAAATAAAAACGTTAAAAAAATTTTTTTTTAATAAAAAAACTAAAAAAATAAAGACTACAAAAATTTATAAAATGGCCAATAAAAGTCATTCTCCTCATACACTCATCTTATTTCCTCTCTGTAAAGTAGTCTTTTCACGTATGTCCTTCCAAAAAAGACATTGGCTTATAGAATGGCATATGTACATAATGTTCTGCGTATGAACTTTACAAATGTACAGAAGTGAAGCTTTGTACATACTGAACTTTACTTTTGTTCACTTACTAATTTATCTATGCCAATCTACCTCATTATTTTTAATAGATGTAGAGTGTATTCTAGTATGTGAATCAACATTATTTACCTAAATACTCCCCTATGTGTCAACAGAAGAAGGATTCAAAAGTTTTGTTTCAGTTTGTTTGACAATGCATTATTTTTATTTATTTCAGAAAAGGTCACATGTGCACTTCGTTCAGAATTAAAAAGGTCTAACAAGGGTATGAACTCCTGTTATTTAAACCTGACTTCTCCTTTTGAAGACAGCCAAATACATTCTGTGAGGGCATCTTGCTTTTTTTCACTTCAAAACTGCAGGCGTACCTGCTTTATTGTACTTCCTTTATTGCAGTTTGTGGTTTTTTGTGCCATACTGTGTTTTTTACAAACTGAAAGTTTGTGACAACACCGCATGGAGCAAGTCTATAGGCGCCATTTTTTCAACAGCATTGGCTCACTTCATGTCTCCATCACATTTTAGTAATTCTCGCAATGTTTCAAACTTTTTCACTATTATTATACTTCTTATGGTCATCTGTGATCAGTGTTCTTTGTTGTTACTACTGTAATTGTTTTGTGGAGCCACGAACTGTGCCCATATAAGATGGTAAACTTAATAAATGTTGTGTGTGTGATGACTGCTCCACCAACCAGCTGTTCCCTGTCTCTCTGTCACCTCCTCCTCAGGTCTCCCTGTTCCCCCGAAACACAACAGTATTAAAATTAGGCCAATGATAGCCCTGCAATAGCATCTAAGTGTTCAAGTGAAAGGAACAGTCGCTATTCTCTCAATTTAAATCAAAAGCTTGAAATGATGAAGGAAGGAATGTGGAAAGAAGTGAGGAAGGGAGGTGGAAAGAGGAGACAGGCTGACAGCTAGGCCTCTTGCACAGAAACAGTGAGCCAACTTGTGAATGCAAAGGGGAAGTTCTTGAAGGAAATTAAAAATGCACCTTTAGGGGCACCTTTAGGGGCGCCTGGGTGGCGCAGTCGGTTAAGTGTCCGACTTCAGCCAGGTCACGATCTCGCGGTCCGTGAGTTCGAGCCCCGCGTCAGGCTCTGGGCTGATGGCTCAGCCCAGATTCTGTGTCTCCCTCTCTCTCTGCCCCTCCCCCGTTCATGCTCTGTCTCTCTCTGTCCCAAAAATAAATAAACGTTGAAAAAAAATTTTAAAAAAATGCACCTTTAATGACTACACCAGTGATAAGAAATCAAAACAGCCATATTGCTGATAATGGAAAAAGTTTTAACGGTCTGTTTAGAAGATCAAACCAGCAAAAACATTCTCTTCAAAGTCTAACCAAGAGAAAGTCTCTATGCAGTTTCATGAAGACTGAGAGAGGTGGGGGAGCTGCAGAAGAAAAGTTTAAAGCTAGCGGAGGTTGGTTCCTGAGATTTAAGGAATGAAGCCATCCCCATAACACAAAAGTGCAAAGTGAAGCAGCAAGTGCTGATGTAGGAGTGGCAGCAAGTTATCCAGAAGATCTAGCTGAGATAATTGATGAAGGTGGCTACACTAAACCACAGGTTTCCAATGTGGATTAAACAGCTTTAAATTGAAAGAAGATGTTATTTAGGACTTTCATAGCTAGAAAGGACAAGTCAGTGCCTGGCTTCAAAGCTTCCAAAGACAGACTGATTCTCTCATTAGAGGCTACTGCAGCTGATGACTCTAAATTGAAGTCAATGCTCATTTACCATCCTGAAATCCTAGGGCCCTTAAGAATAAATCTATTCTGCCGGTGTTCTATAAATGGAACAACAAAGCCTGGATGATCGCACCATCTGTTTACCACGTGGTTTACTGAATATTTTCAGCCTTTTGCTGAGAGCTACTGCTCAGGAAGAAAAAAAGATTACTTTCAAAATACTGCTCACAATGCACTTGCTTACCCATGAGCTCTGATGGAGATGTACAACAAAATTCATATAGTTTTCACGTCTGTTAACACAACATCCATTCTAAAGCCTACAGATCAAGGAGTAGGTTCAGCTTTCAAGTCTTATTATTTTAAGAAATAAATTTCATAATGGTCTAGTTGCAATAGACAGTGATTCCTCTGATGAATCTGGGCAAAGTACATTGAAAACCATCTGAAAAGATTTCACCATTCTAGATGCCATTAAGAACATTCATAATTCATGGGAAGAGGTCAAAACATCAACATTCACAGAAGTTTAGAAGAAGTTGGTTCTAGCTCTCGTGATGACTGTGAGGGGGTCAGGACTTCAGTAGAGGGTCGCTGTTGATATGGTGGAAACAGCAGGAGAACTAGAATTAGAAGTGATGCCTGAAGATGTGACTGAATTGCTGCAATCTCATAAGAAAATTTGAACACATGAGGAGTTGCTTCTTACATATGAGCAAAGAAAATGGTTTCTTGAGATGGAATGTACTCCTGATGAAGATGCTATCAAGACTGTTGGAATGACAACAAAGGATTTAGAGTACTGCATCAAGTTGGTTGATAAAGCAGCAGTAAGGTTTGAGAGGATTGGCTCCAATTTTGAAAGTGGTTCTACCATGGGTATAATGCTATCAAAAAGCATTGTGTGCTACAGAGAAATCATTCATGAAAGGAAGAGTCAATCAATGCAGCAAACTTCATTTGTCTTATTTTAAGAAATTGCCACAGTGATCCCAGCCTTTAGCAACAACCGTCCTGATCAATCAGCAGCCATCAACATCAAAACACGATTCTCCACCAACAAAAAAGATTATGACTCACTGAACTCTCAAATGATGACTAGCATTTCTTAGCAATGTTTTTAATTAAGACATGTATATTTTTTTTAGACATAATGCTACTATACACTTAATATACTACAGTATAGTTTAAACTATATATGTATTGGGGAACCAAAAAATTAATATGATTCCCTTTATTGCACTATTTTCTTTATTGCAGTGGTATGAACCTGTAATATCTTCAAGGTATATTTATATATACTTAAGGTATATATAAGGTATATACTCTTTCCATGGTGGCACTCATAGTCTTCAGTGAAATATATTCTATGTCCTTGATTATCATGAGCTCTGGAAAGAACATAGGTCTTTAAAAGGACTTTGTGGTAAAAAAAAATTTATTTCTAAACTATGAGAAATGTACATTTGTTTATGATAATTCAGATCTTATTAAGTAGGGCAGCCAAGACTTATTAATAAAAACTTTTGTCTGAAGCCATAAAAAACTTAACACAACTCAACACCAAAATAATAATAATGATAATAATAAAATGGGCAGAAGACATGAATAGACATTTCTCCAAAGAAGACCTACAGATGGCCAGTAGACACATGAAAAGATGCTCAACTTCAGTCATCAGAGAAAGGCAAATCAAAACCAAATGAGATATCACCTTACACTTGTCACATTGGCTCAAATCAAAAACTCAAGGATCAGCAAGTGTTGGTGAGGCTGTGGAGAATAAGAAACCCTCATGCAATGTTGGTAAGAATGCAAACTGGTGCAGCCACTGTGGAAGACAGTATAGAGGTTCCTCAAAAAAATTAAACACAGAACTACCCTACAGTAGTAGTAATAGTAATTGCACTACTGGGTATTTATCCAAAGAATACAAAAACACTAATTCAAAGGGATACATGCACCCCTATGTTTATTGCAACATTATTTACAATAGCCAAATTATAGAAGTAGCCCAAGTGTCCATAGATAGATGAATGGATAAAGAAAAAAGTAGTACACACACACACACACACACACACACACACACACACACTGGAATATTATTCAGCCATAAAAAAGAATGAAATCTTGCCATTTGCAACAACATGGATGGATATAGACAGTATAATGCTAAGTGAAATAAGCAAGTCAGAGAAAGACAATACTATAGGATTTCACCCAAATGTGGAATTTAAGAAAGAAAACAGCGAACAAAGGAAAAAGAGAGACAAACCAAACCAACAAATGAAACAGACCTTTAACTATAAAGAACATACAAATGGTTACCAGAGGGGAGTTGTGGGGGGGGGGATGAGTAAAATATGTGAAGGGGATTAACAGTACACTTATCATGATGAGCATTCAGTAATATATGGAACTGTTGGATCATTATACTGTACACCTGAAACTAATATAACACTGTATGTTAACTATACTGGAATTATTTTTTTTAATTTATTCCAAGGCCAATCACCTATGTCACTTATCTAAGGACACAACAACACACACTGTAGAGACGCTCTTCCTTAGGTCTATTCTAAGTACACTCTTCAGCAATATAAGCATATTGACAATTGCTTTGTCCTGAGTGAAGACAGAATAGCTGCTTATCACTCCAAAAATGGTGATAAATATTTTCTTTAAAAAATCTCTGCCATATGAGTTTTCACTTGTTTCTTAAAATTTCAAGATAACCCTAATCCCTGATAAAAAGATTTACATCCAGAAACAAAGCAAAGGAAATCATGAGTACTTTCCAAGATGAGGCACACCGAAAAAGAATAGAGTGTTACTGACAGATGCATATATAAGTTGTGGTCTACAAGGGAGGCAACACCTGCTTATCTTCATCAATAAGAGGAAATTGATAATCAAAGCTCTCTGGAGAGTATATATGTATGCAGATTGCAATAAAGATTATAGTTAAAGACTATGTTTAGTTGGTTCCAACAACAAAAAAAAAAAGGTTTGTAACATGTATTTATTTAACTTTGGAAAAATGCTTATAAGTGCAAATCTTATAAAGATAACCTTTGAAATATATCACTATTCTTTTGTAAATTTCTCATTGCATAAATAACTTCTCACTTTTCAGAAATTGGTTTTTTTGTTAGATATTCTTATGTTATCCACAAGATACGTCACTTATAAACTGTTCATTAACCCATCCATGAGCAGTGAACAGATCTCAAATTTTTCCAACCGGGATTATCAATGAACTTCAACCTATCTGATCTTTCCCAGCTGTACAAATCAACCTATATGTATTGAGGATCTATTATGTACTGTAAACTCTAATGAAATGCAAAGGAGTTTTAAGACAGATATCCCCCTCAGTGAACATAAAGAATTAATAATACATGGTTAAATATGTGGTGAGTGCTATAGATATAAGTGCTGATGGCTTATGACTAAAAACAAATCGTCTGTATTTCGATGCTTTGTTTCTTATGCATGGTATTGTGATTTCACTAAGCAACTGGGAGTGAATGGTCTCAGTGAGGAAAAAAAAAATACCTCTCATGATACTTCTATGGTGAAACAACTTACAAATTGTTTATAATCTGGTATTGTCAAGTAGTAGAAGAACAATGCAGTCAAATGCAGAAAATGCAAAACTCATTTTGCTCTCACTGTTTTCTTCTATCCTATCTTGTCTCTCTCCTCTAAGCCCACTACAGAGAGAGAGAGAGGCACAGACCAAAATAGCTTGCAATTATGCAAAGATCTTCTTTCTTTTTTATTGTATTGTCTTTCAAAATAACTGAAGAATGAGAAACCCCTGTCCTGGGTCTAGTTGTATCATGCTGGAAGGCTTGACCCACACATGTGTTAACTACTTAGTCCTAAAGGATGTAGATGATGGAGGCTCGAGTTTTAGGAAAAATACATTCATTTTCATGTTAGACACACCTGAAAAATTAAACTCCGAGGAACTAAATTGCATGTGTTTCTTCAGGTAGTAAAAGCAGTAAGTTCCATCCGACCTACTGCAGTTAGACCCAGGTGGAGACAGTAGATCTACAATTATGACTGGATCTTGAATAAAGTGTTATTCACAGAGAAGTGCCATTTTATTCTCATTTAAATTATTTCAGACATGTCGCCTCTAACAGTTGTTCCTGGGATTCTTCCCATGCACCTCCCGCCCAAGTCCACCTCAGAAAGCAGATGCTGAGTGTCTGCTGTCCTGCTCACCGCTCACCCCAGTCTCAAATCCCATTTCCCCTCCACCCTTCTAACCCAGTCCAGTAGACCCTTTGGAATCTGCAGGTCTATCTCCCACATCCTCACACATGTCTCTCAACATGTTCCTCACTCTCCTCTACTCACGGTTTTCACGTCTTGGTGTCCTACGCACCACGTGGGGGTGCTGGAGAAGCTGCAGCAGCCACTTTTCCCACCATCCTTTGCCGGTAGCCTTCTCAAGGGCCAGCAGCCGCCCGCTCGAGGGCCCGGGACCGCAGGCTCAGCCACCTACCACGTGCTCTGTGTCCAGCAAGTGGTTTGCAGGTGGCCGTGCCAAGGCGCAGGGAGAAAGCCCTGGAGGAGGAGGACCTGGCGCAGAGGAGCCACAGCTGCAGATGCTGCAAACATCTGTATGTGGTCACCGTGTGCGCAGGCTTGGCTTCTTCACCATGACAAACAGCTCGAGATTCGCACAAGGCCCTCAAGTGGAGATCCGCACAAGGCCCTCAACTGGATGTCTTTGGGTTCCACAGTCAGCCACTCAGGAAGGGTTTCCAGGCCCTGAAGGAGGGAGAGGCAGTGGAGTTGACCTTTTAAAAGCCCCGGAGAAGCTGGAATCTCTCCATGTCACAGGCCCTGGTGGGGTATCCTGTACTGGGAGTGAGAGACAACCAAAAGGAGGAACATAGAAGGATTATCAAAGGAAGATGCTACTAGTACTATGAAGGTCTACACTATCAGGCCAAGGAATGTAGGCGGCCCTTCTGGGCCCAGAAGTGCCCCTTCTGCCAAAGCATCAGTCCCGTGGTGGCCTGGTATCCACAGAAGGGCCCATAGGCCTCCTGCTCACAGAGAAAGCCAGCCTACTTTGGGGAGGAAGAAGAGATCCACAGCCCAGCCTTGTTCCTAAGAGCCACAGTGGGTGGGGACTGTCCTTTGGCCATCAGGAAATTTCTAGAAGAGGGCCTCAATCAGCAGAGTGAAGAAGATGGGGATAGGGTAGGGAGCTGGCACTGCCCAGCTTTTCAGGCCAAGTCCACATTATCACCCCTTCTTCTCTTTTGGAGGTGGGGATGGGGGGAGTGAGGCAAAGGAACCCCAACCATGCACGGGAGGGCTCTGGGGGAAATTCCTCTAGAGCCTGTATGCTTATTTAACAGTCTCTGCCCCTAGAATCTGCAGCTTTTGAAAGTGGCCTCGATAAAGAAGTTGTTTTCTTTGTAAAGAAAAATATGTAATAACATTTCTCATGTCAGATTGGAAAAATTAAATATGAGACCAGATTGATCGGTCTACCCAGCAGCCACTACATTCCATGGGAGGGAACCTCTCAGGGGTAAGGTAGGGTTTATCCATGTCTTATCTCCCCATAACCCACTCTGGGAAAGGGTACTAGGAACTGTCCCAAGAAATGGGTTGTGATGATAGGCAAAAAGGGTGGTTGAGGGACCAGCTGCAGACCCGCTGCCCCTAAGCTGCCTCTTACATGTAGTGCCTATTCTGGGGCAACACAATTTCATTTATTTTCTCTCTTGGATAATGGCACCTTGGGCTCTCTTTTCTCAGGATGCCAACTATATTAGCTGTATGCAAATGGCATATCTTGCGCATTTTAAATTTTTTCTTAATATAAATATTCTGAGTATGCATTTTTGTGCATTTTAGTCTAAAGCCCTCATTCCTACACTGTGTTCCCAGGTACATGAGCAAGCCCAGGGGTAAGTGAGCAACAGCAGGAAAACTTTTTGTTGTTTTATCACCATGGAGAATAACTATTTGGAGTGCATAGCCTACTGAACTACTTCACTTTTGCCAATTAAAGCTGGCTTTTCTGCCATAGTGTTTTCCTGAAACCCCTCCACCTTGAATGTTCCCTAGGAGACTAGATTTTAAGTGATTTGTCCTATGATTTTATTTCCTTCAACTCCAAGACTGGAAATTGGTCTGAACAGGAAAAGGTGAATCAGAGAGGTTAGAAGAGCCTGGGCCAGGTGAAAGGCATCTAGAAGAAGCCAAGATTAAGGGAGGGTTGTCTAACATGTGATAAATGTTTGTGGTTTTTTTGTTTGTTTGTTTATTTGTTTTTTCCAGACCTCTATCCCAGGGCACAGCCCTGGCTTTACATACCAGATACACCATTCACTGGATTGGACTATGCCTCTCTTGCACAACAGGGTATAGGTATTTGTTATCATATAAAATGTAAGTTAGTAAAGATAAATTTTAAGAGCAATACCTCTACTCCCATCTGGTGCTGCCCAGGGATGTATATATGAAGTAAGGACTAAAATCCTTAACCTTTAAAACTTTTGGGCTCTTCTTCCATGGCTTCCAGAGAACTCATAAACAATGTCTTCTTTTGGTGCCTGGGACCAGCGTCTTCCCTGCAGCAGTGATTAATAGTGT